CCAAACCCACTTCTCAAGAAATATAAATGCGCTATAGATTGGGGGAAAGATGAATTGAAAATTCCTTTCAATGGGAAGGATCACATTATTCCAGTAACTATGCATAAAGTCAAGAATAAGCTCGAAGTAAATTGCGCTACCGCATCTCAGAATGATAAGCCTTTGGTATCCGATCAAATTTCTCAAGAAGTTGATAGTAATGAGGGGGGTAATGAATCATTGGAGGAAGAATGGCACGCTCCTACGGATTTTAGCTTAGAATCTACCAATTCTACTTTAAAAAAAAATGCGTGAATTGTGAGAGGGCTATCAAAATCATTACCGAGCTTAATATTCGTAACAGACTTTTACAATCAAAATACGAAACTATGAATAAAGAGAAAACCGATTAAGAATTGCTGGTGATAGACACAGAGAGACTATTTAATATATGATCTGAACTTTCTATTCGTTTCTCTCCCTCATTTAATACCTTTTCAAGTTGGCTATCACTATTAGTGGATGGATCAGAAATTCGTACAGATTTGGACTTCGATCGCCTCTTTTTCGTCTGTTTATCTGGAATATCAGCAGAGCTATGCAAAGTTATTTTGGTGTCTTGCGATTGAGAATCGAGATGGAAATCATTATTTATATTTTGTCCAGGGATTTCAGTGTTTGGCAAGTAATCATTTACAAGTATAGATGGTTGAGATGAATGAGAGTATATCATTTGTTGTTTACGCTCCCGATTTTCAATATAATCTTCGGCTCGAACATAGGATATACGATATTTTTTTGCCATAGAATTTATAGCATCAGGTACTCTACCGGGTGATGTTTTAATATCTTTGATTGCCTCAACTGATAAAAATCTCGCATTAGCGCTATAATATTCTTTATGAATACGACCCATATCAGAAATTTTCTATTGTTTATAGCTATTAAAAATAAAGAAAAGTTTCGAAATGTTTCGAGATGTTTCGAAATGTTTGTATATGTTTCAAAATGTTTGTATATGTTTCAGAATATTTATTTTTTTTTAATATGTATAAACATTTGTACTAATTATTTATAATATCCACAAATTTCCATATATCATGGATAGATGTATAAGATATGTGATACTTTTTTAGCTAAAATCGATATTGCATTTTGCATACCTCTACTATTTATTATTTCACAAATGGTTTCAGGTAAAAGCTATGTTTTATTTAATCAAAATCTTTTAGATATTCTCTAATAATCAGAAATTTTATGATTTATCTTATTTCTATTACACATAGTTTAGCCAAAATATATGGCCAATGTGCAAGATAAAGAATCTCGTATTGTAAAAGTTATATCTGGATTAAATTCTCGTAATAAAAAATTACAAGACAGGTGCATAAAGCAAGATCAGGGGTTTGATCGTGAACGGAAAGGTTGGGAACAGGAGAGAAAAAAATGGAGTCAGACAGTAGATGAATCCAATACTGCGATTCAGAATTTACGTGCCCATGATCTGGAGCTTATTGCTGAGACTAAACGTCTGCAGATTAAAAATGCTAGCAAAGATATTTCTCTTGCAAGTTTTAAAGCCGATAACAATATAAATTCCAAGAAAATTAGATCACTTGAGTCTATGATCAAGATATTGGAAGGTAAGTTGAAATCGGCTCAGATGGATGTGCTTTCGGTTCAAAACGACTCACTAAAAAAAGATTCTGAGATATTATCCCTTAGATCCAAAATAGCTGAATTAGAAAATATAAAGAGCGAATTGGAATCGAAAGTTAATGAGCTTGAGTGTCTGAAATCGGAGGTTATATCAATACCCGTGGTTGGTGGAAACGACGAAAAAAATACGCTGTACGAGGAACAAAGTTCCATGACCAAGTCTGATGATATATCTGCAGTTATTGAACCTATCAAAAATCTCAGTCAATATTTTATACGTAAAAAAAATATGGATCAAGCTGGAAAAATCGATGGTAATATCTCGGATCATACTAGGCCTTTAAGCGCCTCAAAGAGGCATGACGAGATTACTGAACCATTAAAAGTCGATACTGAGATAAGCTCTAAGATAAATGAGGAAACTATCATTAGCGAAATTAGTAAAGATATATTACCAGTTCAAGAGATAAAGAATGTGAATCCACACCTTGCACAACGGGAAAATTATACCCCCTCTTTGATGTCACAGCTATCAGCATATATTTTTCTTATTATATTAATTATCGCAGTTATGTGGTTCGTGGTATTGAGACGTACATGGGGATTGAAGAGGAAAAGTGAGCAGTTGCAGGATGTGTGGGCTAGGTATTAGGAATTATCTATTTAAACTTGGATAATATTTATGTACGAAAAAAATATTATTAATAATATATAAGTATCTTAGTGGGTTGTGGTGATCTTAGCTAAGAATACTTAACAATATAGGTCAATGATATCATCGATGTCTGATGGGTCATCTTTTTTACTGCCATATGTGATTGATAATGCTTGAAGCCGGGTAATTTCAAGGCCAACCACCCTATGCAATGTATTCCGGAAATCTATTAATTCTCGACACTCTGATCCCAAATCATATAGAAGTATATATTGTTCCAGAATTGTAATTTTGGGTTTACGTTTTTGCGCCTGTGTAATTAATTTATATAACCCATTTCTATATTCGACATTTAGCTTAGACAATTCTAAAAGTAGATCTGATAATTTCAAACGAATGGAGTCTGCAATTTTATCTAATGCATTAAGATAATTATTATACCAAGTAGAAGCGCCTGAAGTAGAAGGCCTAGTTATACCCGCTTTGCTAATATTCATAGTAGAGTACAATTTTTCGGCATGTATAATGGCATCTTTCCATAAATGGGAGATGATGACTTCATCTTTTTTCGGAGCATCACGTAAATCTTTGATATAATTTTTGAGCCATTTTTTAGCCGACTTCTGTGACTCTTCATCTTTAATTTTTGCTATTTCATCTTCATCTAGACTCGGAGAGTCATTGCTCTGCAATATATCCTTAGCAATTTTTAATTTCTTCTCCTTAGATTTCTTTTTACGATCCAAGACTTTTGAGAGGAATTCAGGTGATGGTTGATATTTATCATCATAATTTATAAAATGGGCGCAGAGACCAAATAGACTTTCGATATAATAATCAATATTTATTTTCTTGTTGAACTTTTTTACCACATCTGGGTATTCCATACAGTCTCCTTTTTGTTGTGGTATTTTTTTCCCGCAGTTATCATAAATCTCCTCAGGTACTACTACAATGTAACTAATTCGTTCACCGGGTTTGGGAACTTTATATAGGTATTCGTTAGCGGGTAAACCCTTCTTTATAAGCTGTTGATTTTCCAATACTTCACGAGAATACTTAGCCCCCATTCGCGAAACAAACCGTTCTACAGAGATATTCCCCCGCTTACCTTCCTTTTTAGGCCTCCATATACATGTCTGAATAAATTCATCATAATCTAACTTGGAAAGTTTTTCCACATTTTCCCAAAGAACTTTTTCAACAATCTGGTGTATTGTCTCCTCATTACCGACTTTCAAAGTTCTATTCATAATTTCCTTACCTACATCACGAAAGAGCTTAGATTGGCCTCTTTTCACAATATCTATCCCTTTAATGAAAAGCTTACCCGGATTGAAATTTGGCTCCTTTTTATACTCAAGACCATAGTATTTTTTCTTTCCTGTAAATACCACGGGGAATAAGACCTCTTCATATGCCATATTAAGGTAAGGCGTTCCATTGTCTTTTTCAAGTTCAGTATTTACTTCATTACGGAGGTTTGCCATCACTTTCATAGATATTTTTACCATTTCCTTCCAGTACTCTTCTTGTGAGAGTTGATCTAATTTATATTTTCGATCACATTCCTGGAAACACTCTTCTGGACATGTGAGATATAAAGAATCGGTGTCTCCATATTTAACACCAAACCCTTTATCTTCAACAAAATTTCTAACAAATTTAATATTACGTTGCCCAGCAGAAGTAACTCCACCTGCTAACTGAAGTTGATAGAATGGAGAGAGATTGTTACCTGCCTCACCATAAAATGTATTCATATATAATTTTACCGCCTTTTGTTTTGAGTCTAAGCAACTATATTCGAAACTTTTATCATCCAATTCATTAAGGGTTTCTTTCATCTTCTTTCGTTTATTAAATAGATTTTCCAACACTCTAGCATATAATCCCTTTTCTTCAGGTATATTATTATGGCGAATAGACCAAGCTTCTATAGTTCGACCATTGAATAGAAACTTAATCATGTGGGTTTTTTTTCCACTACGGATTACATTTATCGCTTCTTCGCGGGATAGTATGATTTTATCTGGTGAAAGGTTGTATGTCATTATAAGACTTGGGTATAGGGAGGCAAAATCTAAACCTGTTACTGGACGTTTGTTTTCCAGACCTTTTATCGGTGTAATAACATAAGCTCCTGGATATTTACCAGATTCTGTATTTTCTGAAGCAATCATACTACACAACATACTACTACTCCAAGCTTCAGCTCCCAAAAGATTACATACTTTCATACCCCCCGCAAAATAATGAGAATCAGAAAGAGAAACATATGCAATAGATGATACTTCCCTATAGTCATTGATTACATTATGTTTAACCATAAGCTCTTGGCATCTCAGTGCATCTATTATACAATAATTTGCCACTTCATGCATATTTTTTGCAGAAACATCAGAGGGTTGGAGTATTGCTTCTTCGTAATACTTATTCATAATGTGAATGGGCATATCTGCCTTTTCATCTAACCCACAGACATCTAGATAATATTTAAGTGAACTCGCCTCTGATTTTAGATATAATTTTTTGAAACAAGCACGAACATCAATAGGTATACATCCTGGTATTTTAAGATACTTTGAGTAGAATTTCTCATCAGATATCTTTATCTCACTTTTTCGATATTTCCATTTTATAATTTCTTCAACGTTGGATGATTCAGGTGACATATGATTAAACATCCATTCAAGAATACCTAAACTTTTGGCTTTTTCTATAATAAAAGGCCAGTCATACTGTGAATCATTAAACCCGATTTGTATATCTGGCATGATTGCTTTCCAACAAAGAGCGAATGCTTTTAATAAATTTCCTTGAGTTTCACAGACAACCGTAACCCAATTTGGATCTGGTGATATTTCAATGTCAACAAGACAAATCTGCTTTACTGGCACTGGATCATCCTTCCAATGTACAGTAATACAAATCATAAAAACTTGATCCTCGTCATTTTTTGCATTAGGTAAATCTCCCATCTTACGACTACTATATGTTTCTATATCCCAGGTGAGCACAAGAGTTCGATCATGCATGAGAGCTGAAGATACTATTTGATCATCTGGCCTGTTATTCCCTAAAGGTTGAAAATTATTTACAGATACACGGAAATAATATGATGAATTTGTATTTGATATGTAATTATAATTGCTTAATACAGCCCACTCAGAAAGGGGTAGTTTTTCTTCACGGGCTATTTTTCGATAATAATAAACATTAGTGATATCATCTGATGCCGTTTCAATATTGTGTTTACGAACCTCTTTCAAGATTCGTGTTCTATCATAATGATTCCATGTAGTGATACAAACATATACCTTTTTCTCGGTATGGTAACCACGAATTGGATACGCGTGGATAACTTTTATCCCAAACTTTGATTTATCAATCTTTTCCGATCCCAATATAATTTTTACTAATCTTGGTTTGAATATAGATAAAGGTTCGTTATCAGGCATGGCGACATCGAAGAAGGGTTTGATCCCTGTAATGTCTACTCTAGCCTTTTGCCCATTAATCAAAGAGCCGTAAATACGTAGAATATATGTAGATACCCCATTTATATATTCAGTGGCATCACTTACATCATTGGGCATGAAGTGTATAGGTTGTTTATCGGATAAATTTTGTTGGAGTATAGCTGTTAACCCATTATCGCATTCCGAAATAATATCATTGCGAGTTGGAATCCCGGCTAAAGTTTCCCCGCCCCCGTACCTGATCACTTGTGCGTTTTGTTTGCTCATTTTTGGTATTTGGTTTTTTTTATTGGTATGTATCAATCTTTGTTCGATTATATTATTACAATATAGTTTGGAAAAGTTTAAATTAATTTTTTCAGTTGGTGGTAAGTGATAGTAAAAAATATGTATCAAATATTTTAGCGAGAATGTAAATGAATGTGATAGAGATAAAGAAAACTTTGTGGTATAATCTTCAGAAATATATTATATATAAAATGGAAGAACACACCACCTTAGCATATATATTTCGGGTATGTGATCGAGTGGTGTAATCTTCAGTAATATTATATATAATATATGGAAGAATACACCACTTTGGCATGGTAGGTAAGTGCGGTAATAATATATAGCGGAGCTAGTGTCTTTGACACATAAGAAAAAATGAAGTTATATACCGCATCTGACGATATGTTTTCGGGTATGCTTTAGGTATATGGTGAGGTGAAGCTAACTGCGTAATATATATAAGAAAAATGGCAGAAGGCTTCACTGTTTGATGATACGTATTCGGATATATGTGGTCGGGGTAGGTAACTTCAGAAATATTATATATAAATATGGAAGATGCCTACCCATTTGACGATATGTTTTTGGGGTAGGTAAGTGCGGAAATATATTATAAGAATTATGGCAGAAACCTACCCGTTTTCATGATATGTTTTCGGGTATGCTTTCGGGTAGGTAACTTCAGATTAAGCATTTTCCTAGAGTGCTACTTATAGATGACCGTCCACACGTGTAGACGATGGACACAAATGCTACATGGCGGAGACTGAAAATGCGGAAATCGGTTGGGAACGATAAGCCAGCATGTGATATCAAATGACGCATAAAATGTATTTGACCCATCAAACTCGCGATGAGGCTTACCCGGTAGCATAACCTACCTCAGTTATTTTATTGCAACGGAAATTGGTTATGATCACCAATTTGATATACGAAAATTAACCACAGTCTCGAATGACGAGGCAAATGCAAAACGCACGTCACTCGAATGACGAGGCAAATGCAAAACGTACGTCACCTGATGAGCAGACTATAAACGTCTCATCTCTGATGAGGCAAATGCAAAACGTACGTCATCCGATAAGCAGACTATAAACGTCTCATCTTTGACGAGGCAAATGCAAAACGTACGTCACTCGAATGACGAGGCAAACGCAAAACACACGTCACACCTGAGTCCATTATAGTCTAATCCAAGCCGTTTTGAGTTTATATAAACTCAAAACGGCTCCACCCAATCTTAATTGTCTCTATTGTAATCAATCACCTGAAAATACTACACACCTATTTTCTTGCCAAGCTAATTCTAATTTGGACACAATTCCATGGCTAATAATCTAACAATCAATAATCTCTGAAATCTCAAATTGGTATAGATCCTCCAAAATTACACAAACTAACAACTATTACAACCTCTATTCCAATCTAACTTCAACCATACTTCACCTGTAATACTTGCAGCTGGATTAATTCCATCATCTCTAATTAACTCCATATATCCAATATTTACTTCTCACAAAAAAACTTCAGTCATCCTTCACATCATCTCCTACAATCTAATAACTTTCTATTATAAAAATGTCCAGCTTCCATGATGTGCTTTGTTTAACTCATGGTTAAAACAAAATAATATCAACTTAAAAAATAAAACAGCTAATCAAATATACTCAATTAATCAGATAGCACAAACACTCTCAAGATCTCTTTCAAATCCTAATTCTAATAATTCTCATCTAGTTTTAATAAATAACTTTCTTAACACTGGATCTGACTTCCTATTACCTAAGTAATATCTGGATCAGTCCAACAATATCTATGATGTATTTAAAGTTGTTAAATCAAGACTGAATAAACTTCATAGACTTTGTTTGGCATATCTGTTTTTTCTGAAATGTTAAATTTAAATATGTATGTGTGTATATATATATATTTTAATTATTTTCAAGAGGAATAGCCTCATATAAAGTTAATTTGGAATTTATTTTGTGGATTATTTTTATTATATTTACTTTATTCTAATAAAATTATATGAGCAGGATACTGCCTTTATTAAAAAAAAAAAAAAAAATACAAATAAAATAAATAAAATGATAAATAAAATAATATTAAATGATGATAAGAGGAATGGCAATAGGTCTCTTCAATCAGGTTAAACTAGTGATGTTAGCCAGCTAAGATTTTTCTACTGGCTAACATAACTAGGTTAAACTACAAGGAGGGTTTGCTTTAATTTGGAATAGATAGCATGTAATGTTTTAATTATGCAGTTCCTTATTATTATTCCAATAATCAGATGAATAAAATTTATTCATAAATTTAAATATCTAAATTTATTTGATTAGAATCTATAAAAAAATAATATTAA